CACTGATACACATAAAATTTTAAAAAATACCATTTATAAAACCACAGCACTAGGTAGATTACTTATAACAGGTTATTTAACCTGAGTATCAGTGTCTCTATACAAATAAGACCTACTAGTCGAGGTTGTTATAAAAATTATTTGAAAAGTATTACATGTTATTGTATCAGTATAATGCCCACCCAACAAACTACTAGAGCAATTGAAGAGCACAATTTACATTCATGTAATTAATATATCTTTCTTATATATTTATTAAGCTAGTGTTTATAATATTTTCATAGTTTGGTGCAAATTGTGTGGATCTGAAAGTTTTAAACTGTACTTATCTTTTAAAAACACTTTCTAAATTAAAGTTTTAATTTATGGACACCAGATTTCTTCTCTGTATAACAAGGACTTAACGGTTGTTTTTGCTAAAAGCACTAACTTTGCACATAGGACTGCAACTGTCTCCTTCATATCTTAAAATTTTTATTCAGATTCTATATCAACTCCACAGATATTTAGTCATTTAAGGAGTGCCTTTCTAAACCTTTCTAATACAAGCTTGACTAGGCCCAGATTTACCTAATTTCTTTTCTCTTCCATTGAGTGTGATGACACCAAGTATAACTATGATATTTTCAAGTCCTCACAAAGAGAAATCATCCCATGAAGGGAACTGAGGCTTTTCCTCTCCCCAAATGGGGCAATAATCCCGTGACTGGAACCAAACTGATCCTTCCCCAAATAGTGACTGCCTAGGAACCAGTAGAACCTCCTACAACCAGAGCAGGCCTGGTTTAATCAACCAGACCACAGTTTGACCAAGACTGTTTGATTAAGGACATCTATTGTTCCTGTTTTGTTCTTTTCCTATATTATCCTGGAGCTCTTATCAGTACCCCTGTATCAGTTACTTTTCTGTTGCTGTGATTGAAACACTGACCAAAGCAATTTATAGAAAGAAGAGTGTATTTGTTCTTACAGTTCCAGCGGAATTACAGTCTGTCATGGCGGGGAGGCATGGTGGCAGAGGTGGCCAGAGGTGGAGCAGAAGCCAAGTTCTCACATCTTCAAGCAGGCACAGGAAACGAGAGAAACTGGAGATCCCACAAGGTTTAAGAACTCTCTAAGCCTACCCCCAGTGCCGTGCTTCCTCCAGCATAACTACACCTTCTAAGACCTCCTAAAACAGTGCCACCAACTGGGGACAAAAATTTCCAAATACTTGGAGCCTATGAGGGATATTTTCATTCATACCACCACAACCCCTAAAGACATAACTGAGGATCCTGGTTCCCCTATTTGTCAATTTGCAACACTGAGAATAAAATTACTTCTTACAAACCACTAGTTCTCTCTCTTTCTCTGATGAGATTCGTGAGGAATTGGATAGGGATCCTGGCTTGGAGAATCCCCAGAGTGAGGCCCCCTGATCTATGACTCTGGTGGTACTTTTAGTCCAGACATATTCTATATACAGTATAGTATCTGTGGTTTTCATTAAAGGCAACAAGCAAATTTTGAAACAGTGTTACAAAGATTTTCTAGCAAATAGAAAACAGAGTCTCTTAATTGAAGTACATAATGAACAATGTTATCACATTTATAATTAAGGTTAGAGAGATGGCTCAGTGGTTAAGAGCACTGGCTGCTCTTGCAGAGGGTCTGAGTTTGAGTCCCAGCACCCACATGGCAGCTTACAACCATCCTAACTCCAGTTCTGGGGATCTGACGCCCTCTTCTGACCTCCATGGGCATTGCAGAACATGGGTACACTTATATGCAAGCAAGCAATACCATCATACACATAAAATAAAAAAAAACAGTTAATAAAATATTTTAAAAACATTTATAATTAAATTCTGGAAATATAAAAACAGCCCAAATATATCTAATTAATATTAAATTGAGATATTTTATACATATAAAACACACTGTGGATTTAAATGCTTATCAAAAATAATATAAACTATTTCACTAATAATTCTATAAGACTTCATAGTGAAATGATAGTTTTAATACAATTGGTTGCTATTTACTAAGTTCATATAAAAGATCATATAACATCAATTCTACTACATTAAAGTATTATTTTAACTTGTGAATCTTGTGCTTAGTAAAACAGGCAATCAAAATTACTTTAACTTAAGTCTCTCACCATAACCTAAGACACTCACCATCCATGTTAGCCACTTTATGAAGTACTTTACAGGTGCTTTGTTGAGAGGCAAATTTTCATCAATCAAGAAAGTACAACCAAAAAATAGTAGAATGCTAAAATTCAGATAACACAAATTATAAACAATGTTTTTTATATTTTATTTTTATTTTATGTGTATGAGTGTATTGCCTGCATGTATGTGAGTGCACCTGTGTTGTGCAAAGCCACAGAGGTCAGAAGAAGGCTTTGGATAGCCCTGGAACTGGAGTTAAGGATGGTTCATAGCCACCATGTGGATGCTGGGAATTGAACCCGGGTCCTCTGCAAAAACAGTCAGTGCTCTTAACCACTGAGCCATCTCTCCAGCCCCTGTAAGCAATGTTTTTAAAGATTATTAACCAGTTAGCAAAACCATTATGGTAGTTTGAGATATGTCCTCCATAGGTTCACGTATCTGAACAGTTGCTATATGAGCCCAGTGGTGGTGTTGTTTCAGGTAGTCATGAAATCCCTAGGAGGTTTGGCCTTGCTGGAGGAATATGTCACTGAAAAATCCCGTTTCCATTTTGCTCTCTCTGCTTCTTGCAGAATGCTTAAAGATGTGAGCTCTCAGGTTCCTGCCCAGTGCCTCCCTCATCATTATGGACCCTCCTTCAGGAACTGTAAACCAAAATAAACTCTTTCCTCTATAAATCACCTGTGGCATGGTATTTTATTACAGCAACAGGAAATTAACTAATACAACCTCTTAAGTATAATATGAAAATATTTGATATCTGTATTGTTAGTCTATATCCATATATTATTACATGTTAATTGCAAAAAGGGATTTAAGAATAATTTATCTTTTGTCATTATTAGTTTGATGCTAGGTACAACATGAAACACAAGGAAATTTTATGCTATACCTTTCTTCTCTTGATTATAGACATTCAGTGTTAAAGTAATGATAGACTGCATTTGTTTTAGAGAGCATTGCTATAAAGAAAGAAGCTAAAAACAATCAGTATTTTGCTGGATCATAGGCATTTAGCATTAAAGTGTTCTGAACATGAAAAATCATTTTATTGCCGAAGTCCTAGGTCAGAGGCCTGGCATTGAGATGTCCCAACAAGTTAGGCCTGGTCACTTCAAAACAGCAAACAAGTAATGGTGAAAATGGAGGAAAGGATTTTGAACAGTTATTGGGAAGATGGAATAAGCAGTTTAGCCCATCTTCAGAGCTCCTGACTGGAGCTCTTAGATTGCACTGAGAAGGCACAGAAGTGGAGATGGTGAACAGAAATACGCAGCCAGTCAGTCTCTGTCAACCTGTCTGGTTGATCATTATTTCAGGATTGGTAGAATGACCCTTGTCTCTGTAGCAGTCAATGTTGCCTGAGGTCCCAGGTTACATTCTTGTCACAAGATACTTATCTATCAGACCTGTTCCTAAAATCTAAAGTTACTGAAGAAGAGAATCATGGAGAGCAAAGGAGATAGCTGTAAAACCAGGGCAGTGATGCCAAGTTCTTCTCATGACCCATTGAACATTTGTAGCCTGGAAGTCACTACTGTTTAACAAAAGCCATTTCTAAGTCCTTATTACCCTTTCCATGTACTTTTGAAAGTGCAACAGTTAAAGGTACCTTTATTGGACTTTGTAATTTTTAATTTTAAAATTCTATTCAATCTACATTTTGACTTTGCCATCTAATTGTCTTTGAGATTTTATACACTAAAACTTCATTTTTCATACATTATAAAAATTACTCCACTATTTGTACTTTGTAATATACAAATTGTAAACTATTGCCTAGTTAATATTTCCTTTTCTTTTATTTCTATGCTTACATGTCTTCTTAGGATATCTGTGTTCATCCACATTTTCATCTAGTCATTAGTTATGCATAAACTGATGGAGTACCAATTTGAAGCATCAACATATTTTGATATAGACATTTAAAGTAAAAGGTTTTGGGGTTTTTTTGGTTTTTTGTTTGTTTGTTTGTTTGTTTGTTGACAGGGTCTCCCTAGTCGTAGCCTGCCTAGAAGTCACTATGTGGACCAGGGCAGCCGGCATCTACAGAGATCTGCCTTCCTCTGCTTCCCAAGTGCTGGGATTAAGGGCACATGCCAACAAGCCTGGCGTAAAACTTTTAAGTGTTTTCATTATTATTGGCTACCATTGCCAAGGTTATTTCATGTGATGGTTATTCCACAGCATATTTCAGGTTATAATTTATCTATAAACTAGCTTAATTTTTTTAATGGTTCATCTTTCTCCTCAGTTTTTGTTGTTGCATTGAGAACTTCCAGGGCATTAGGAAATAAGAGTGGGCTCTGTTAAAGATTCTTTTCTTATTCATCAGTATATCCCTTACACCATAAAGAATCTGTACTGTCACTGAAATTAGCATTTGTTGAAGAGATGAGTGATGTAAAATTTTTCACTTAATCAAGTGTGCTGGATAGCTTTAGTGTCAACTTGACACACCTGGGTTGAGGGAGCCTCATTTGGAGAATTTCCTCTATTGGACTGGCCTGTGGCCATGTCTGAGGGACATCTTCTTGATGAATGATGTGGGAGGGCCCAGCCCACTGTGGGTTGTGCCACCCCTGGGCAGGTGGGCCTGCATTGCATAAGAAAGCAGGCTGAGCAGGGGGCAGGGGAGCAAGCCAGTAAGCAGCATTCATGGCCTGTGCTCCAGGTTCCTGCCCTGAGTTCCCACTTTGGGCTCCCTGATGTACCATGACCCAGGAGATGTAAGCTGAATAAACCCTTTCCTCCCAAGTTGGTATTGGTCAGAGTATTTTGTCACAGTAATGGAGAGAACAAACTAGGTCATCAAGTATTCGTCACAAGTTCGTATGCATTATTTTCCACTTTGCATAGATTGGGGAAACTGATGTCAGGAAGGCTTAGTTTTCCTGGACACTTAACACAAATGTCTCTGATTTCAAATCTAGTAGCGCCTTTAAGACCCTAGAAGAGCCATGGTCTGGTAACCACTCCTGCTTGCGCTCCCTGGTGATGCAATGGGCACCAGCGGTGCAGGCTGTACCCTACAAGTCTTGGGGGCAGATGCCAATGGCAGTCTTCCGGAGAACGGAACTGTTCCTAGAGGCCGGAGCAGCTCTCCGTCGCGCTGCGGGGCTCCCCGCCCTCTCAGGCGCCGGCGACCCGCCCAGTGCACCGTTGTGACCTGCGCTCCCGTCCCCGCCTGAGGCCTAGTGGGGGGACTCGCCGCCGCCATGCTGCGGGTTCTGATAGTGGGTGCCGGGCTGACCGGAAGCGTGTGCGCCGCCCTGCTGAGAAGGGAGCTATCCGGGCCCCTGTACCTCGCCCTGTGGGACAAGGCTGGGGACTCAGGTGGGTGAAGCAGCCAGATGTGAGGAAGGACCGCCAGGGACCCGACAGCACAAACACTCTGTGGAGACAGGTCTAGAGCGGCTTTTCCCGGGCCAGCGGCAGCGCAGGCGCAATGCGCAGTGTGCGCGCTGTCACGTGACCGGAGGCCCCCTCAACCGGGAGGCCGGATGACCAGGAGGCGGCGGTCCGGGTGGCTTTGAACCCAGTGGAGTGAGGGGACCTCCGATGGAGGCCGGGATCTGTCTCGGGGCGGCAGCCGGACCCGAGTCTGGAAAGCCTGGGCGCTCAGGGTCCCTGCTGTTGGCTAGGCCGACCTCTGCCATTGCAGCTTCAGATTCCCAAGTCCTCTTGACTACGACCTTCCAAATGTCTACCTTAAGGAGTCTTTCTTGTGCGTCTTAAAGAACCTTCCTTAGTTGTTGGCATTCCATCTATTTCGTTTCATTTGTTTCTTTCCTTTTATTCACATTAACAAAATATGCACCTATAACACTGTGAGACAGTGGTACATTATTACTCGAGTTCTTTTTTTTCCTTTCGTTAAATAAAAAGTAACAGTGCATGCCTTTAATCCCAGCACTCAGGAGGCCGAGGCAGGCGGATCTCTGTGAGTTCAAGGCCAGCCTGGTCCACATAGTGAGTTCCAGGACAACTGGGGCTACAGGGAGACCCTGCTTCAAAAAGACAAAAAAATAAAAGTCACAGTGACCAAATTGTTTCTATCCAGGACAATGTTAGATGATAAAGACTTCAGCTCACATTAAGAATATTTCTTAATGTGTTTGTACAAAGAAAATGAAGCCATGAGTTACCCTACGGTGAATTTTATTAAACCCAAACGTTTATTTTAATAGCTGACAACTGTTTATGAATTTAAGGGGGAAGAATGATTACTGCCAACAGTCCTCATAACCTCCAATGCACAGCTGATTTGGGAGCTCAGTACATCACCTGTACTCCTCATTATGCCAAAAACCACCAAATGTAAGTGAGTGGCCAGGAGTCCTAAAAGAAGTATGATGTAAAGCGATGCAAATCATTCATTTCTAACATTTTAAAATTTTATCTCTTATAAAAGTGAAATTTTCATAAAAACAGTGTTGATGTTAGCGGTATTAGTTTGAGAAACACTGCCTCATATTGTTGATGTGAAGATTGAATGAGATGATACACGTAACAAATAAAGGGCTCAATAAATATTAGTAATTGTTCGCGTTGAACAGGCAAAGAGTTACAATGGAAGTCAGCCTTTTTAAGCAATTTTAAACCTAGGGCACTAAGCGCTTTATACATTTTCCTAGACGTTAACTTTGAATTATATAGAGAAAAAGGACTCGGCTAATCTCAGCAGAAAATCTACAGAGTCTTGAAATATTTGTATTCTTACCTGAATTGCAAGTTTTATTTAACACAAGTATAGATTCAGTTGATTAAAAGAGGATTTCTAGCCTGCTTTGTAATTTTAAAATCTGAGTTCATAGAAGAAAAAATAGTGTTAAATAGCTAATCATATATATTTACATGTATATATTGATTATTTCAGTTTTTATCAGGAGTTGTTAGCTCATGGGATTTTGACACCCCTGACATCACCTATTGAAGGAATGCAAGAGGAAGAAGGAGACTGTAACTTTGTTGCACCTCATGGAGTTTCTTCAATTATTAAGCACTACTTACAAAAATCAGGTGGGAATTAGATTTTTCTCAAACTTGTTTTGGAATTGATGTTTAAAGATAAAAGTTGTACATGTAATTAAAATTTAATATCATATGGAGAATCATAAAAAGTAGTCTTGTTCCCGTGTCTAACAGCCTTTCTTCCTCCAAAGGAAGCACTGATACCAGTTTTCAGTACGTGCCCTTCGCAAATGGTTATTTTTCTATTGGGCTATGTGGCTGTTTCTATTTATGAATAACATGTATATATTCATTTTTAAAATTTTTTGATTTTTATTTTATGTGTATGAGTGTTTTGCCTACATTTGTGTAAGTGCGCCACGGTTATACGGTGCCTGAGGAGGTAAGAATACGGCATCAGATCCCCTGTAACTGTAGTTACAGGTGGTTGTTAGCCACTGCATGGGTGCCAAGAACTGAACCTGGGCCTCTGCAAGAGCAGCCAGTGCTCTTAACCACTAAGCCATCTCTCTAGCCCCTATATTCATTTCTTAAACTATATATAGAGGGCATTATTTTATGTGAACTGTTCTTTACCTTGTTTGTTTCATATCTTGGGCCTATCTTTTCATAGAAACAAATTCAGTATTCTGTGCTTTCTTTAATGGATGTTCAATATACTACAGTATGTATAGGTAATCATTTATGTAACTGTTAACTTTTTGTAGATATTTATGCCTTGGAATTTGGGAGATGTAGGATTGACTTTTATAAAATGATTGTAATCTGGACTAATGATTTTTAATTACAGCAGAACCATATGCTCTTGTGGCTTGTGACCTGGGCACCTGATCTCATTTCCTTGGCAACCTCAATTTGGTACTTCCTCCAAAAAGATAGCTAATGAATGTGTGTATGCTCAAGAATTAATATATCAAAATGCTGAAAGGTAGCATGCCCATCTCTATTGCACACAATGAAGATTGAGAAAGATTATTGCAATACCTTGGGGGAATAGCATACTCTAGAACAAGGGATGAAAAGACTGGATAGTCTGTTAAACTTGGGATGGAGCCAACTGGCCCTCCCCCAACTGAAGCTGGAGAAACCATTTTGAAAAATCTCATGGATGGAGCCTGTGCCAGGACATAATTCCAGGGATGGAGTTCCAGCAAGAGTTCCATGAACACAGTTCCGAGACAAATCTGGGGAAACAGTGTCCTCTGAGTTCAGATCCACTCTTAAAAACTAAATTTAAGAGCAAGCTTTTTGTTCAGGTAATTATGATGTAGGCATAGCAACATCATAGGAAGATAGTTTTGATGTTTCTTTATATAAACATTGTTCTATTACTTACCTTGACACACTTTTCTTTTGAGACAGAGTTTCCCTGTAGCACCAGCTGGCCTGGAACTTGCTACGTAGACGAGCCTGGCCTCGATCTCACAGATATCCACCTACTTCTGCCTCTACCTACTTCTGCCTCCCAAGTGCTGAGGTTAAAGGCCTATGCCACCACACCTGGCCCTATCCTTGATATACTTATGTAAGCATGTTTGTGGGATAGAATTCTAATAATAAATATGTTATATTTTTAATTAACTAGGCTCTACTACGTGTTACTCAAAGAATACCTCATCAGTAGTAAATGGGAATGCCTCCCCATATTTGAGTTTTATGGGAATGTTTTATTTTTGCAGTGTGACAGGTTTAAATGGCATATATTTGCAGTTTTGATCTTGCATTTCCTGCTATGAATAATTTCATACGTATTTTGCTTTGTTAGTCGGCTCTTTTCATTTTTCTGTGAATATCTTATAATATGTGACCATATTCTATTAGGATTTTCCTTTTTTCTATAAGCATTTTATGAATGCTTTGAAAATGGACTTTTTAGAAAAAGAAAATAGAGCTTTCCTTGGGTGATAAATTATTTTTTCTTATAGAGTAAGACTTCTTTAAAAGTTGTAATTTGGCTAAATACCTGTAGGAATGACTTTTACAATATGCACATAATCTGACCTAAAGACTTTTATCCAGCCTTATAAAGAAAATGTTACTGAAAAAGACCTAAGTTCAAATTCCCTGCAGCCATGTAAAAGCTGGGCATAGCCACACATGCCTTAACTCCAAGCTCTAACAGGGGATAGAGACGGGAGGATCCTGGGGTCTGCATGGCCAATCAGCTTAGCTGAACAGTGAACTTCATATTCAGGGGAAACCTTGTCTCAGAAAGTTAGGCAGAGACTGATAGAGGCATCCTCCAGCCTCCACTTACACACAGATACACACATACATACAATACATACAGACATGGGCCTATGCCGCACTCCACATATATACACAAACCATCTCAAGGAAGACTGGGGATAAAATTGAGGAAAAAAATTTTATATAAATACATTTGCTTTTTAAAAAATGTTTAAGTCCTATTAGTCATCTGCTAGCCTTCTAGAGATCCACAGATTTAAAATTCTCACTAAGTGTCATGTGGTGGGTGCTGTGAAACTCTGTCCTCTGAGCATGACACAGCCATTGTTGTCTTCAGATCTAAGCGGAAATACATGAGGTGCATGAAGTCCCATTCCTTCCTAGGATATTTGAACAGCTAGGGTAGCTTCTAGTAAATTGCCCATATGCCTGTAAGTAACCCCAATTAAACTCATAGGTTTACTAAGTTAGACTTAGAATCATTTCTTTAGTCTGTTATTGCCCTCTACCGGGTAAATAGGAAAAGTGCAACATGGGAAAAGGAAACTAAGAGCCGTGCTTGAGCCTCTGTTGATGTAAAGTGTAATGGATGGTGTAGCAAGGAGACATTAAACTATCCTTGTAATGAAAAATATGTGTAAATGCTAATAAGAGTGAGAGAGAAAAACTATGAAGTAATGTAAAAATGCCTCAACCCACACTGATTTCAGAGTAGTGATCTGAAAGATGTGGCAGGGAAAGTGTCACTGAGAAACTGATGTTGCATGGGTACCTAAAAAGGGAACGGGAATGAACTAGGCCAAGAGCTAAGGGATTAGAATAGAGAGGCACATCAAATTGGAGCTATCAGGAAGTAAAAGCAGCTGAATGTATTCAGGTGCTAAAAGGTCACCATGACCAGGGCTGAAATGAGGGAGAAAATGGCAGGAAATGAAGTGAAAGATTAAGATTGACCAAGGCTTAGGAGCTTTGCAAACTGTGTTAAAGATTTTATACTTTATCTTGGCTGCAGTGAGTGGGAAGCCACTGAAGGATATTTATGCATGAATATATGTATGATCAAATTTACTAAGCCCAGAAGTGTCATTGAGAGGTTTTTGTTCTCTGTTTTCAAATGGGAGCTTCCAGAGCCTATAAAGTTTTAATGCATGATGTCTTATGAAAGTTATTAATTACTTTCATAAGGCGATTCCTCATTCCTAGAATCTTTAATCTTATAATATGGGAATAAAAACTTCTTGCTGCTTCATAAATACTACTTTGGGAGTAAATTTTTCAGATGTTATATTAGCTTTGGGTCTATTCATCCATTCCAGTGGCTTTACACCTTGCCATGAATCATACATTACTCATCCCGTTGAACAAGGGAGTTGTTAAATGCAGATATCTGGGCCTAACCTATGGAGTTTCTGATTCAGTATGAGTCCTTTAGAGCTTAGAATGTGTACTTGTGATTCTGGGTGCTGCTGATACTGTTGGCCTAGGGTCCAAACCTAAAGCACTACTGATATGTACCTTGTAACATACCTTGAGGCCATTGGGATTGATTTCCAAGAACTTCAGCTGAGGTGTGAGCAGCTTTCCAGGCCAGTGAACTTTAATCTCCTTTAAACAGACAAACACTGTCAACAACAGCAATTTTTTTCAAAGGACTATTTATGGGAAAAAATAAACAATAGAATCAGTTGTTTTAATTGAGGTCTGGAACAAACAAGGACAGACTAAATAAAATAAACACAGTGAGACATCCCAAATAAACCAAAGGGCTGCTTTATTGGGATAAAAGAAATAGTGAATGTAGGTTGAAAGCAAAAGTTATTTCTATTTTCCCAAAGCAGGAGCCTTTGAAAGACCTCAGGTAACTTGGCACACTGTTGACATCACCTTGCCTTAATTTTTTTATAAACTCATACTGCCTAAAGCAGAAATATAATCCATGATCTAGTTAGCATCATGTCCCCTCTAACATTTAGATTTGACTTGTAAATTTTGATTGCTCACTGCATTATTCAAGGGACAATAAAAGACATGAAGGTTTTTGAGACTGGGATACCTGGCATGGAGATCCAAAAGTTTTATTGGATAAGGTAAGACAGCTAAGGCATTCAGATATTTTTTTATATTCAACTTAGTGATTTTTTTTTGCTCATACTTGAGTTAAGTAGTAACTACATGATTTTTTGATTGTTTGAGAGATTTGTTTACAGCTGTAAGTACAGATGATGATACTTTGTTTTTTATTTTTATTTTCTTGAATTTTTGCAAATATCATACCATATATTTTGATCATATTTAGATCCCCTCCCTATGTACTCCTCCCCTTATGTCTCACCCTTATATAAGACTGACTCTCCTCTCCCCAGCAGCCGCCAGTTGCCAATACTTCCTCAAGTAGGGTTGGGGTTTCTTAACTACTTCCCCATGTCTATGCTAGGATTTTGTCTTGATTAAGCTTACTTTGGACTAGCAGATGCTGTCAACATTGCGAGTTCATAGGAGTAACTACCCAGTATTCAGATATTTTGAATCAGTGTCAGAATAGGTATCAAAGGAGTGGTGTTTGAAGAACATCATAGACAGGAGAGATCAAATTGAGCCAGAGTAGCCTTAGAAAGGAAACTTTACAGGTAAGTTTGGATCTAAGCTGAACTTGTAATGACTGGGAGCATGAAATTCCCAAGATAAACAGTATCTTAAGTGTACTTTTTATTTTCTTCATTGCACTGTCTTTTTAAAAAAAAATAATTTATTGAGAATTTCATACAGGTATATAAGCATATGAAGTATTTTGATCAAATCCATGCCCACTCCCTCCTGTCCAACTCCTCCTGTATCTCCCCATCACTTTTTTCTGATAA